CATCCCTCAGGCTCCTCCGACTCGTGTATCTACCTGGCTGACACGGGCTACCAGAGCTATGCCCCGCCCCCAAGAAACATCATCTACAGGGTGAAGGAACCCGCTACCCTCGGGGATCAACAGCTGCCCATCGATGGGGAACTCAAGTTTACGTGAGTACATTTGTCTCTGTTACAGATGTTTACAAATTTGCGTGTTATACCCTTTTAACCACGGGTTGAGTTTGCTGTTTATATAAATCTAGGTGTTTTTCACAACCCACTAACCCTTTTCCCCCCAAAAAAAAACAAAACAAACAAGCAAACAAACAAACAAACAAACTAAAAACATGCCTGTATACACGTTCTGAAATGGAGTAGAAGACGTTCCGTTTTATATTGCAGGTGGGCGGAGCCAAACTGTGACACAATGCTTGTGGACCCTCATGGGATTGTCTACGTCATCTCCAGCAAGGTCGGAGGTCACGGGGTCATGGGAAAACTTCCCAGCAGTGGCTGGACAACAGGGGATCAACGAGTCAAACCCGAAAGAACTGTGGTGACATCAGCGGCCGCGACAGCAACGCCCCCGAACCCTGACTGGTTTAACGAGGTGAGCTTTGAGTGAAGAGAAACATATGAACGCAATAAACGTCATTTACTATTTTAAAAAAAAGAAAAAAAGGCTAAACAGATCCTCAGAATGACAGAAGGTAAGAAAAAGTAGGACATGTCATAAGCATTTCTCCGCTGAGCACTGATTGGTTTAATGAGGTGAAGTTTCTTTATTATCGTCATCGTGGAAGAAGGAGAGTAGGAAAGGAAGGTCTTTGGGTAATTCTCGGTCGGTAAAGGTAAACAAGAAGAATGCCCTAATCAATATTTATTATTTTCATTTACAAGATCATCATCGTCATCATCCTCACCAACACCCTCTGTTCCCCCTCCTCCTCATCTCCTTCTGCCCCCCTCCCCCTCTAATCCACCTCCCCCTTCTTCTCCTCCTCCTCCTCCTCCTTCTCTTCCTTTTGCCCCCTCCTCTCCTTTTCACCCTCTTCTTTCCCTTCTCTTCCACCTCCTTTTTCTCCCCACCCTCCTCGTTCCCCTCCCCTCACACTCACTCTCCCTCCTCATTTCTTCTCCCGTTCCTCCTCCACATTTTCATCCCTCTCCTTCTCCTCCTCCTTCTTCTCCACCTCCCCATGCCCATTCCTCTCCTCCACCTCTCCCTCCTTCTCATCCATCCCGTTCACCTCCCCTCACACTCACTCCCCCTCTCCTTCCTTCTCCTCTTCCTCCTCCACCTCTTCATTCCTCTCCTTCTCCTTCTCCTTCTCCTTCTCCTCCTCCTTCTCCACCTCCCATGCCCATTCCTCTCCCCCTCCACCATCACCACCGCCTCCTCCTCCACTCTTACCCTTCGTGTTCCTCCTCCTTATATATATATAAAATCCCTCCCTCTCTCTTTCTCTCTCTTTAGCCCTATCTCAACTCTCGCCCTGCAACTCCTTTTCACCTGCTCTGTCTCTAGTCTCCCCCGACTAGTAATGCATCGCCTCTGGCAGCCTCCCCTCTGGCCGCCTCCCCTCAGAGACCTTGAGGACTTTGACTTCCGGTGTAGATCCTTGTGATGGTAGGCGGCTTCCGGCATTTCCTAATGCGCGTTCGTAAGCGGATACCAGCTAAGACTTCTTCTAGCCCAACATTGGCTGCGACATGATTTCAATAGAAAAAGAACCCGAGCAGAGGCTTTCTACTCTCTGCCATTTGTTTGAAAAGTATAATAATGACAATAATAATAATATAATAATAATAATAATGATAATAATAATAATGACAATAATAATAATAATAATAATAATAATAATAATAATAATAATAATAATAATAATAATAATAATAATAATTAACAGACTGCCCTAGTTTTAGATTGTTTACTTAACTCTTTTGTGATTGTTGAACAACTGTTGTGCGGAATCTATCTATCTATCTATCTATCTATCTATCTATCTATCTATCTATCTATCTATCTATCTATCTATCTATCTATCTATCTATCTATCTATCTATCTATCATCCACAGAAAGTATGATCAATTTCTGTATAACACCATGGGGTAGGGGAAAAAAAAGACAACAAAATAAAGAAAATTTCAATCGATTAATACGGAAACCATGTAAAATTTCAACATCAACATTCCCCTACTTAGATGAAGTGCACATGATAGCTTGCACTAGAAAAATTAATTCTTTCTTTTTTGACAATAATCATCCCTGCCCCCTCAAATAAAAACATCAAAGTAACAGACCCAGGTTTCTGATCTGTAACAAAGAAAGATACAGAAGGTCATTCTTACAATCATCCATCAAACTTCTTCGATCCTAGCCATCTTGTTATAAGTATTCATATGACCTTAGAGCTAGCATCCGAATACCATTGAGTTACAATCAGAATAATGAGTACTTATCTAACTTAACATTATTATTGTTTATATTACAGTTCATTTACATTATGCATGTGACTGTAAGTCTGCGTGTGTATGTATGTTTGCTTGTATGTGTGTATGGGTATGTGTGTGTGGGTGTGTATGTGTGTACGTGGTAAAACACCAAAACCACTGAGCTGGGATCTGGACAATAAAGATGTATCTTATCTTATCTTATCTTATCTTATCTTATCTTATCTTATCTATCTATCTATCTATCTATCTATCTATCTATCTATCTATCTATCTATCTATACAAGCAGATATAGAGGCCAAAAGACCCATCTATAGTTCAACAAACGTAGAAGCGATAGAAAGGCCGACAGATTTCTTTAACAAAAGTCTTTTTGTTGTTAGAGGTCTTGTATTTTGGCTTATTAACATCACAGAATGAACAAAGAGGTGAACACGTTCTCTTTCAAAACCTGAAACTGAATCGACCTGGGGTCAAAAACATTATCGAGAGGTTGGTGGAGGTTGAGACATACCGAACTGAAGCAATTCGTTCGAGACAGTCCACTTTTGTCTCCTATCTGGAGATCATGGACCGCAACCTCCTTTATCTTCATTTATCTTGCCCTTTATCCCCCGCTTCCCGTTCCTTCCCACCCACTCACCCCCTCTCTTTCTCTTTCTCCCCTCCTCTCTCTTCCTCACTGTCTACCCCCCCCCCTTTTCTCTCTGTTGCGGTCGCCTTTTCTCTCCCTTCATGAACATGACTTCCTTCTCTCTCCCCCTCCTCCTCTCTCCCCCTTTGTCTCTCTCTCTCTCTCTCTCTCTCTCTCTCTCTCTCTCTCTCTCTCTCTCTCTCTCTCTCTCTCTCTCTCTTTCACTCTGCCCCCCCTCCCTCTCATCTTTCCTTCATGTGCATTACAATAGTTCTTTCTACGTCTCCCTCGTGCTTCCCCTTATTATTTACTCACTTTCTTCTCTCTCTCTCTCTCTCTCTCTCTCTCTCTCTCTCTCTCTCTCTCTCTCTCTCTCTCTCTCTCTCTCCTTCTCTTTCAGTCTTGTTTTCTATTTCACTTTATCTTCTTTGTTTTTGCTTATGAACCCCATCAGAAGATCTAGTGCCTCTCTTACAGACCGTCTGTAATGTATTTCCTTTGTTTCTTTTTTTCTTCTCTCCTTCACACCTTATCATTCATTTTTTCCACTTCTTCACTCTCACACTCGTGGGTCCAGTGATGAAGCACTTGTCATTACTTCTCGGAGGAAGTACTGACTTGTTTCCGATTTCCGACAACCTTGGTGGCCCTTCTTGACTCTATTTGCTTGGACTCGCATGCATTATCGCGGCGTGCCCTCCTACATGACTATGATGATAGCGTGACAGGACACCCCTTCCTATCAAATGGTCCACTAACATGTGCAGGTACATATATATATATGTATATATATATATATATGTATATATATATATATGTGTGTGTGTGTGTGTGTGTGTATGTGTGTGTCGTGTGTGTGTGTGTGTGTGTGTGTGTGTGTGTGTGTGTGTGTGTGTGTGTGTGTGTGTGTGTGTGTGTGTGTATCTAAACTTGACAGCTCGCTACGCTAAAATTTAAAAGTTTGATCTGTTCAGTGCCTAATTTGGAAAAATGTTACGTTAAAAATTTTGAGTTTTACATTACATGCCAAGATTTTTCGAATGCAATTCTGTCTCTGAATATCTGGATAACGACTCCGAATAATCGAACGATTTTGATAGAGCAGAGAAAACAATAAAATTTGGTTTCTAACCTCATGGTCTTAGTAACACAAAACGGCCTAAAATGTCAGATAAAACATTGTAATTTTAAGAGAGCGAGCTATCTATGACTTCTATAAAGATGTGGTAAGTATTTAACGTCTTGAAAGACTGCTCTCACGGGGAGTCAGGGTGTAGCGATAAACACTTTTGACAGTCCAAACTGTCCGGGCAATAGCTAAGGACATGATCTTGTCCAGGACATTGTGCTGATAGAAATATAGTGAAACATATATTTTTTTAAAACCCATATAAGAAACCAAAGCTCAATTTGCAAGAACAAAATGGAAATGACTTGAACATATGAGGAAAGAGTTATAATAACTAACATATTTGTCACAAAATATGAACAGAAAGGGCAAGAAAATGGTAGTGTTTTATACAAAGCTGGAAATAATCTTCGTATAAGCAGAAAATGTGTGCTGTCTATGGCCTTTATTATGACAGAGCATGAGTAAGTACTCAATCAGTACCGCAAGTAGACAATAAAAATGTATGCACGGTATTGTAGGAATTAGACACAGTTATTATCGTAATGTTATTTAGAGCTCAATTGTCTTGCCATACACAAATGTATTCCTTGTTGTCCATAAACTGGTACAAAAATTATTACGTCACTACTGCCATTTTAGACAGTCTTTTCTCAGGGTTATTTAGTATTTTACTCCGCAGTAATTTGTGTCTGTTTTTCGAACAGGAGTTGGGCAATCGATTAGATAATACTTTGAAGTAAAGGTCTCCCTCCACTTTCGTTTCAAAGAAGAGATAAAAGAAGACGAGACGGTCAGTACGAAGAGTACTCGCGTTCAGCCACCTTCGAACAATCTTGGCACATTATAATCACGAACTCTAAACTTGGAGTATACTTAACGTAATGCCTGTCAGACCAAACTAAAAATCAGGCAATTTGGTAAGTGTTGAAGTATTATCCTCAATTGATTGGTTCTCTGCCAGCCTCAGATATACTATTTTCCGTTAACAAAACATGTTTCTTAAACAGCTTTATAATTCATCCTTTTAGTTTTTCATTTTTGAACTGTTTGGTTTGTTTTTTATGCCCATCCATACACATTTACAAGTATGTGCTCATCAACCATCTGTTTGTGTGTTTTAATCATTTCTTTCAACATTCGTATAACACACAC